ACTGCTGCCTTTTGTTTCATCAGTGGAGTAGATGTGCATTGTTGGTAGAATTCATTTAGCAAATTCAACGATACATGTTGGGCCAAAAAAGAGAATGAGAGAGAGCAATTTAAGCAGTGAGAGTGTTTGCCCAACATTCCTCTCAGTGAGCATGTGCCTCAGAGGCCATGGAAGGAATGTGAGGAGCACACCTGAGCCTTCAGTCATCCGTTTCTGTGTGATCTCACAGGACCTTATCATAATGACTATGATCCTAGAGTTTAATATTTTTCTAATAACATGGCTCCTAAATGCAAGTACTTCCCTGGCACATAAACAGAGGTTCAGCTGTTTCTAGCTCGGTTTAAACACTGGAGGGAGATCTGCTTTGGGATTGCTCATTCATCCTCCACCGTGATGCCTTCCTAAGGCATTTTCGAGGGTCATTTTGGCATTGGTTTTTGCCTAATGCTGAGTCGAGAGCCTCATGGCTGAAAGGCAGCTAGCTCCATCCAGTACATCGTTTTCCATGGGGCCCAGGCACTGTTCTGATCGTCTGCTCCCACTCCAGGTTACCCACCTCAGATGGACTCTCCGGCTCCTGCCGCCCTCCTGCCTCCCACCCCAGCAGGTACCGAGGTCCTCAGCCCACTTCAAACCAGGGAGCGGCTGCTGGTCCCCGAGAGGCGCGGGCCGGCCGGTGGCATCGGGGACGACGCAAGCCAGACCAGGCTTTGTATGTGCCCCGGATACTGCGCAAGCAAGAAGAGTCAGCACTACCCCCCACCCCGGGGCTCAAGGTTGACCCCCCAGGTGGCAGGCCTCTGGAAGAGCCTGGAGATGTTGGTGCTGGGGACTCCAGCTCTGATCAGGAACGCCCTGTGTTGATGACTCAAGTGACAGAGGACCTAAAGGGCCGGGGCCTGCGTTGTGAGAAAGAGCAGCTGTCGGGCACAGAGCCCTCGGGGCCTGGGAGCCTCTCAGAGACAGGAGACAGCCTGGAGACGGCCACACAGCTTGGGTCCAGTCTGCAGCTGGTCTTGGAAGAGGGGCGTGGGAGTGAGCTGGAGAAGAGCCTGGGGGCAGAGGAGGAAGAGGAAGAGGAAGAAGTGGCAGAGGAGGGGCCTGGCAGCTGCTCTGAGGATGATTCCAGTGAGCTGCTGCAGGAGGTGATGAGGCTCTTAAGCCCGGCAAAGGGAGGGCAGAAGTGAGGTGGGTGCAGTCCTGGGTGGATGAGGGACCAAGGGTCCTGGTGTGGAGGGACAGGGCATGTGCTGGCTGAGCAGGGCTGGGTGTTGGGTGGGAGAGGTTCCTTAGAAGGCATAGGGGAGCACAGGAGCCTTGTCCAGAAGAGTCGGGACTGTCAGTGGAGGGGCGGAGGCTCAGGATATGGGGTCAGGGGCATGGATTTGGGTCCCAGCTCAACCACGTAGGAACTCTTTGACTGTGGGCAAGTCATTTTGCTTCTCTGGTTCTCAGTTTTCTCATCTGAAAAGCCAATAATAGTACTTATTTCATAAGGTAACGTAGATAGGATGTATGTGGAATGCTTTGTGAGGGGCTACAGGTATGGTCATGAAAATTCTTCTGCCTGAAGCTTTGTCTTACAAATCTCATTTCCTGTCCTGAGACTGGCTGTGGTGTTCGGTTGGGAGGGCGGGCATCTTTTATTGCTATTTTATAGATGAAAGATGAAGACCAGAATAAGTTGTTTAGTGTCACATTGTGAAGGAGGGAAGGAAAGATCCTGGATTTGCCCAGCTCTGTCTCATTGACTGTGCATGTCTGGGCAGAATTACTTAGCTCTTTGATTTACAGTGTTCTCATCTATAAAGCGGGTATGTAGAATAAAGTTTTCAGGATTCTATGAAACATAATGTAACTGCCAGTCCCCCACTGGGGACTCCATAAAGTAAGTTCCCTCCCCCAGAACTCACAGTTCTCTGTCTTCCAGCGCAGTCTGCCATTATGCTACCTTTCCTAGACTCCTGCCAGGTGTGGCTCCCGTGGGAAGTCACCCTTGGCCCTCTCCTCTCTGCCCACCCAGAGGCCTGCAGGACTCTGTGTGATTTTGAAAGCAGTTTTGGGAGCCCTGCGTGTCAGAGGGCCCCTTGCTTAAAGCTGTGCTCTCTCCCAGATCACTGCCAACCTGACTGAGAAGGAGATTCAGGTAGAGAAGATCCACGTGGACACATCCTCCTTCATAGAAGAGCTGCCTGGAGAGCAGAGTTTGGCTCACGTGGTGGAGATCTATGACTTTGAGCCTAAACTCAAGACTGAGGACCTGCTGGCAGCATTTTCCGAGTTCCAGTGAGTGCCAGCGAGGCTTCAAGGAGGCAGGGGAGGTGGGGTGCTCCCTCTGGAATGGAGCTACGACATCCCATTGTTGTTGGGGACACTTGCCTCACCCAGTACCCAGTGTTGCATAAAGAAAGGTGGAAAGTGGGTGCCGTGGTTCTGGGCTCCATCCTTCTGGGCAGTTCAGCCTGCTGGCTGTGGCTGTGGGGAGACGGGACCAATTTTTGCTTGTAGACACATTCCACAGGCCCTCGACCTGGTCCTGCCCCCCGCACGCCCACATGCCTGCCAGGACCCCGTGGGGCCCTCCCGTAGGACACAGGGTGCAGGTAGCCCACCACTCCAGCTTGTTCCATGTCCCCGCCACCCAGCCAGGCCACAGACTGAGAGCCATGTCCGTGCAGGAGGCGTTTCTGGCCTGAGCCGGGCTTGCGTGCTCTGTGGCAGGGCCGGCTGGAAACGAGAGCCAAAGGGATATACTGAGACAAAAGCCTTTTCCCGTTTCCCCAAATTCCTTTTATCCAACTCCAATCTTTTCTCCTTTTTTCTTTCTCTTTTTTCTTTTCCTTTTTTTTTAATGTTCATTTCTCTTTCTCTACTCTCCCTTCTCTTTTCCTGCTTAAGCTTCTAAAAATCCCTTTCTTCACAGCCCCCTTTTCTGACTGCTCCCCAAACCTTGCCCTCCCGGAGCCTGAGCCGGGGGAGAGCTGAAAGGGCAGCTGAGTGGGGCATGAGGGGCTCATCGCTCTTGACCCTTGAAGGTGTGGCCAACTGGGGCCACCGGTGACTTCCTCAGCTGGGGGGCCCGGAACGGCTGTTGGCCTCTCCAGGGTCCCACACTCAGCGGTGCTTTCCTGAGCAGTGGGGAGAAAGTTGACCGGAAGCTGTGACACTGACGTGCGTATTTTAGGTCCCCGGTCCCTACCACATAACTCTTCAGTCTCCAGCCTCGGCACCCACACCCTTGGCCTGGCTGTGGCAGTGCCAGGAGGAGACTTCTTCCCCCACGGCATTGTGCTCTAAGAGCTCTTCCAGCCCTGGCTTTCAGTGCTAGGGATCAGGGACCCACTTGATGAGCCAAGGAGGTCTGCTGCAAATAGTTGTCTCCTTCCCGGAGGAGATGGGAACTTGTCTTGGACTCATGGTATTTGAGGGTTGGAGGTGGGAGGGAACAGCCTTTAGCAGAACGGGTTTTAATCATTCACTCTCATAACCACTCTGTCCCCTCTTCCCTGGCCCAGAGAGAAGGGCTTCCAGGTTCAGTGGGTGGACGACACGCATGCGCTCGGCGTCTTTCCCTGCCTGGCCTCAGGTAAGACGGCCTCACGGAGGGCGTGGCCCTTTCCGTGACTCCCTGAGAAGGGACGGGGCCTTGGTTTCCCTGGGTAGAGGACCACCCATGTCCAGGGTGCAGGTGGGCTGGTGGGGCCTGCGCTCCCAATCCCCCAATCCCGAAGTCCAGGGAGCAGAGCAGGCGCTGGGCCAGGCAGCTCACAGCCTTTCCTTTTCGCGTTTGTGCCTTCAGTTCGGAGGCTTCGGATTCACAGGCCAAGCCCTAGGTATTTCCACATATTAAATGAAACCATATGAAAGCGCTGTTTTTATAGGTCAAAGGCATTCAAATACTGGCAGTTTTCTATGGAATAAGAAAGCAGATGCATTCTTATTCAGTTTTCATTCTACTGTCAAAAAGTAGGTCAGATCACCTCTCTTTTACAGATGGGGAGACCGAGGTTCCCAGAATGTCTGTGGTCTGTTCAAGGTTACAGAGCCCCACCCTGTCGAAGCCGGGGATGTCAGCCAGCCCCTGCCGCAGCGCTGCTCACTTTGAGCGTATCTGTAAAGAGTGACCCACTGCTCCTCTTGGCTTGGCTTCTGAACACTGGAGCTGGGAGAGGTCATAGCTGGTGTGGGCCCAGTCCTGAAGGGAGCCTGAGGGAGTAGAGGGACCAGGGCACAGTGGGGGCTTCAAACCGAGCGGGAGCTGACTGAAAGGGAAGAAGTGGGAAGGGCCCAAAGGCCTCCAGCGCGATAGGAAAAATGAGCACTGGGCTGGCCTGGTCGCGGCTGACTTCTGGGCTCTGCCAAGCTGTGTGACATGAGCAGGTCATGTCCTGTCCTGAGCTTCCTCATCTATAAAGGGGAGGCTTGGACCTGACACCCCTCTGAGCTCTGACATGCTGCGTCTGTAAGTAGCCCAGGTACTCCATGTCCCAGCAGAACTCAGCGTGAGGGTGTGTGCCCCACGATGGTCTTGAGTCGGGGAAAAGGTAGTTTGTTTAAAGCCTTAGAAGGCGGGAGGCCACCTCTCCTGTGCTAACCAGCCCAGGGTGGAGGGTGGAAGCCGGGTCCTATGCAGGCTTTCCACCTGAGAGCACAGGGGGCCCCTGCAGGCCTGCGGGGCCGGGGCGGGGTGAGCAGACAGCACTTGACTCTCTCGCCCAGCCACAGTGACGTCGGGGCAGCTGGGTCCCCGAGCTTTGAATGGGTGCACAAAGCAGCTGCAACTGTTTTGGGGTGATACATGTGTTCCTGGGCCCTGAGGGGGCCTAACTGGGAAGACGAGGGGATGGCCCCAGATCTCTTTTCTTTCCACAGCTGCTGAAGCCCTGACCAAGGATTTCTCAGTGCTCAAGATCCGGCCCCTCACGCAGGGAACCAAGCAGTCAAAGCTGAAAGCCTTGCAGAGGCCAAGTAAGGAAGCGGCCGTGGCCCGATGGGAGGGCCGTGTGTGCGTGCAAGTGTGTGGTTAGGCAGTGGGGTCTTCCCTGTGATTCAGTCCCCTTCAGCTCTCTGCGTAGGCTGCTGGGGATGCAGTGGCAAGTGGGGTGCGCCTTTCACACCCCAGGGAGCCTGGGAGTACCGAGGGAAGGAGGGCCCCACAGGGAGTGCTGTCTGCCATTTGCTGTGTTCTGGGCTTGCCCTTCTGTTCACACCTCTGCCCAGTGTTGCTCAGGGAGAAGCTTGGTGTTTTCTGTAAGGCCATGGGAACCATGTTTTGCAGTGGAGTGAAAAGAGCTGGGGCTTTGGAGTCAGTCCTCCTTGTGATCCTGGCTCTGTCATTTATTTAAAGTGACCTTGGGCAAGTCACTTAATGTCTGTGGATTGGTTTCTTTCTCTGTAAAATAAGCAGATCATACAGAGTAGGCTGGAGGAGTGAATAAAAGAGCCTGGCACACCTGCCGGGAGAGGTGAGGGACACACGTAAGGTGCCAAATAAATGACAGCTCCTCCCCTTCCATCTTCTTCTAGAAAGCAGGCTGGGGGCTTTTAGAGGCCAGTTTTTTGTGACTGCAAAGCAGCGGCCGGCAAACTGGCCCAGAAGAGGCTTACTGAGGTCATCCATGCTCTTGTGGCTCATGTGGCCTTTGTCCCATACTTTTTGGGGACAATAAATATCCTGTCACTCTAAGAGCTCTATGTGTCCCATCTTGACTTATTTCACTCCCAAAAGGCCCTACAAAGCAGGCAGGTGGACAGGGTTGACTCCTTCTCATCCCTGTGCAAGTAGAGAAACGGAGGGGACAGAGAGGTAGCAGGATAGGTCAGGACCCCGCAGGGGTCGGGAGCCCTAGGTGGGGCCCCTCTTACTAGCATCTAGCCACATCGTGGGCACAGCTGGTCTTAGAGGTCGGTTCAGATGGCCTCTGGGGCCACTGTGTCTGGGAGGAGAGGCAGCTACAGCCTTGAATTCAAGTCCCCAACCCATGGGGCTTTCCTTTTAGAGCTCCTGCATCTGGCGAAGGAGAGACCACAGACAAATACAGCAGTGGCACGGAGGCTGGTGGCCCAGGCCCTGGGGCTTCAACACAGGAAGAGAGAACGGCCTGCGGTGGACTCTCCCACCTCCCCGGGGTCCTGAGAGGGGCAGCCTGGATCTGCACCCCAGGACAGACTGGTGCCCCAACACCACAAGCCTTTCCAGGGACCAGAACAGCCAGCACTCTGGTTGGCCCGTCACTGCGGGGCATGGTGGGCTTCAGTTTGGTCTAGTTCCAGAAGTTAAGAAAAAATAAAAACTTAGAAGTTGTTATAATGTGATTGCTTCACAGTGTGGTCTGCCACGGGACACTAGGGGGTGCTGTTTGTCTCCCATTTTAGACCTGGGGCTATGGAAGAGATGGGTCACTCCAGGAGACGGGCCTGGAAGATTCCAGCGAGGCCTCGAAGGCATATTTGCACAGAGCCTGCCCAGCTTTGGGGGGTAGATTGACACCTGCCAGGTCTCCCCTCAAAAGATGTGTGTCCTAACCTGCAGCTGTGAGCTACAGAGTGGCTGCAGGCTAATGGCAGTGCTGAGGGCGCCCCCACCCCCACCCCGCCCCGATTGGTCCTAATGTTTCCTGCCATTGCAGACCACAGCGGGGCACTTCACGGAAATAAACATGAACAAAGCCAAGAGGTGGAATCTGAAATGTCTGCCGCGTTTGCCTCCTTCATAGGAACAGATGCAAGGACATCATTGTGGGGACAGGTCCCCATACACAGGTCCCAATACACGCATTTTTCTGGTTTGGAGTCGGTGCTGAGGTAAGTCTACCTGGCGCTTTGGGGTCATTGTGGAGCCCTCTGATTTGCTGGCCGTAGCATGCTCCTGATGCAAGTGGAAGCCCGTGTCTGGGTGAGAGCGGCTGGCTGGGCGGCCCACCCTCACTGCGCTGGGAAGAGTTCTGAGCCTCTCTGAGCCTTGCATCACTGCCTTGTCCCTCAGAGCTGGCCCAGGCTCTGCCCTGTGAGAAGCCTCTTGGGACAGTTTAAATCTAGACACCTCTTCCATCCGGTCCTAGCACAACTGCTATGCCCCCTGACAAACTTCAGTAAAAGACAGCTCAAGAGAGACTGTGACTTATATTTTCATTGGTGTTGGTGATCCTCTTAGACTTCTGCTCTTGGGGCGGGAGTTGCTCCTTTGGGTGCGTGTGGATGGAGGCCCTCTTCAGCCACACCGGACCCCAGCTCTGCAGGAGTAACCTGTGAGTGTGTATGAGGCTCCCTGACAGCAGACTGAACGGACGGAGCCTTGCTGCTCGGGCTGGGTGCAGCGCTTCAAATGAAACACAGATACAAATCATAAATCTTTTATTCCAAGTTTCAAGTATGTGTAAGTGTCTGTGATGACACATGGCGTTTGGTGAGTGTCCTTGTCACCCAGGACCCTGGTTATAGCACCGTTGAATCAGTTACCCACAGAATCAGAACAACAGAACCATGAGTCACTTACACAGGTGGGCAGGTTTTTCCTTCCAAAGGCCCAGATGCCCAATATTAAATGCCACTAAATTAATTTGTGTTTCAAAGTTCGTGAAAATATAATAATGGTATCTTGAAAAATAGGATGTAGAGTTGAGGGTAGGGGAGAAGTACCAGCTCTGAGCTCACTTCATCAGAAAATGTGGCAGCATTTTTTATATACGTGAACAGAGAGAGGAGAGGACAGGCAGTTCGTTTAACTGGAAGAGAGCTCTAGACGTTCAAGTTGGTTGCAGATGACCCAAGAGGAGGAGAAATGGGATTCAGCCTGACCACCTCGGGCGATAAACTGGCTTTGCCGACATGGAATTTGAGGAGAGAATGGCCCCATATTATCTGTGGTGAGCTGATGGGGGTGGTGTCAGACTGGGGATGGGGTGGGGTGTGGGGCAGGTGTGACTGGTTTGGATGGGACAAGCTGATGACAACCTGTGTGCCTGGGGTCCCGGACAAGATGGCCCGTGGCACTGCTCCCACAGCCCTGCGGACAAGGCCCACTCCCAGACACCTTCCCAGGCTCAGGCAGCAGCCCCCAGCAAATGTCAGGAACACCCATTCCTCTTGAGCTGAGATGTGGCCGCAGGGTATCCAGATGGGGCGGGGCCGGGCTAGGCGAGGGGGAGTGTGGTGATCGTCCGTCGGACTGCAGTTGTTGGGGAAGATGCGCTGTGGCCCAAAGGCAGGAGGTGACCACGTGACCATGTAGGCTGCCTTACCGCGTAGAGAGCTGGTTATTTATGAGTCCACTGAAGTGTTCAAACTTCTTTTCTGTCTCTTCACTGAAGGAACCACCTGAGGGGCATCAGAAAGACAGGTTTTGGCAAATCAGACGCTCGGCCCTCACCCAGGCTGGAATGGCGGGCTTCAGGGGCCCTGGAGCCACCACCCTCCACCGGGTGGCCTGCTGGGGCCACTGCTGTGTCTATGCCACCAGGGGAGCATTGCTGCTGGCGATCTCAGGGCCAGGCACATGTCAGGCGCTCTGTCAGTTAAGGGAAGGGGTGAATAAATACAGTGTGGGCCACCACTTTTCCTGCAGAAGAGAATGCTCTGCTTCCCCTTTTGTGCCCCAGATTGTATATAACTCAAAGAAAAGTTTCTTTTTTGGTGACCAGAAGCCACAGTGGTTCACTAGCGTCTAGTTCTTGACAGAGGAAAACGATACACAAAGCCACAAATTGCTGACGCCCGCATTTTTGAGGTCACATGCGTAATGAGGTGGTGGCCTCAGTTCCAGCCCTTAAATAGCTTTGGGGTCTGTGTTGGGCCGGCCGGTTCTGTACCGCCTTCCTTGGCCACAGCTTCCTTGGCTGTGAAAACCCAGTCTGCATCCAGGCCTTATGTGTCTGCAGCGTCCTTCCTGTGCGTGGAAGTGTGAGGCTGGCTTCATTCCCTGAACTCTTTGCCCAAATTAGGAAGCTTCTCTGGTTCCTTGAGAAAATAGGGCAGCTCTTGCCTGTCTCCTGGAGGTGGGCTGCAGGGTGGGGGAGGGTTGGCCGGCCGGGGGGTGGGTAGCCCTGAGGTGGGGGGTGCCTGGCAGCCCTGGGGGTGCCATGCTTGCCCAGAAGTGCCTGGGGGCCTTACCTATGTGACAGTTGTACATCCAGATGCGGTGGCCGTCGTAGCGGGTCCTGCATTTCATGATGTTGTTGGTGTAGTCAGATTCTGCAACCTCATAGTTGGGGTTGATGACAACCTGGGGAGACAGTCAGGTCAGAGGGGCTGCAGAATCCCACAGCCCGAGCCACTCATCACCCCAGGCCCAGGGCCCTGCCGAGACCAGTCCTGCCTCCAGAGCCGCGGTGACCTCAGGAAAGGGAGCACGGCAGGTGCTGTGGTCCAAAGGAAGCCAGGGCAGGACTGGCCAGAGATGAGGTCAGGGAGGCAGAGGGGGCAAGGCCTGGAGGAGTGAGATGTCCCTGCGCCTGCCTATCTGTCTCAGCGTAATTCACACACGCCCCCTACCAAGAGCATGCCTTCGAAAGGGGTCACTCTCCTGGGTGCCCTGGGAGGCCTGAGGTTGGTAGAGGCAGGAGTTGGGGCTGGGCCACAGAACAGGCTATTGAAAGAGCAGATGGGAGCTGGGGAGCAGGATGTGCTGGGACTGGGTGGGGACAATGACAGGTGCCATAGAAAATGTCAGGAAGGCTGCCCTGAGTGTTGAAAACTGCATGCTGCTCCTGGTGGTGTGACTTTGGACTGTCCCTCCCAGTGTCCAGGCCTTAGTGTTGCTCTAGGGGTCCCCAATCTGCAGGCCACAGACTGGTACTGGTTCGTGGCCTGTTAAGAACCAGGCCACACAGCAGGAGGTGAACGGCGGGCAAACATGCGAAGCTTCATCTGTGTTTGTAGCCACTCCCCAGTGCTAGCATCACCGCCTCAGCTCCACCTCGGATTATTGGGCATTAGATCTCATAGGTGCACTGGTCCCTGGTGCCAAAAAGGTTGGGGACCGCTGTTCTAGGCCATCCCCAAGCCCTTCCTGCTCGGGCAGTCCAGGCCTGGGCTCTGGTGGAGACTGGATCCCTCGTACCCCTTCCTCTCATCTCCCCAGCTAAGGGAGCATAGCCCAAAGGAGTAGGAATAGGGAGGGTCATCATTTAGAGAGGTTTCTATGAGTGGACAGAAAAGAGAGATTGGGATGAGGAGCCCAGAAGAAAGGAGAAAGAGGAGAGGGGGAAGGGAAGAGACAAAAGCTACTCTGGGGCTGTGGGTGAATCATGGAGGACACATGGCAGACTTTCCCCAGAAGGCTCTGCCAGGACCTAGGTCAGTGGGGATCAGGGGAGGGACAGCCTGCCAGCTAAGGAACAGTCTCTAGGTTTGGGCCCTCAGGACCTTTTCCTCTAGGAGGGCTTGGACATGACTCTTTAGCAGGCTGGCTGGGCTTCCCAGTGAGGCTGTGGGAAACAGAGGCCAGCATTGCACCCTGCCCTGTGTCCTGGCCCAGTGCCAGCCATTCTGGGGGTCCACATCTGGCCCTGCTTGCCAGACCTGTCCTAGGCTCTCTCCCACTCTGACCCTCTCTCTTCAACCAAGACCAGTAAATGTCCTACTCTGGGGCGGCCTTACTTTTCTTGGATCTCTCTTCTACCTAACGACCTTAGCTGTTGCCTGTCCCCTGCCCCCATGCATGGCTCGAGTGCTGAACAAACAAAACCCACACACTGAGGACTGTGCAGCTCCTTGCTCACCAATAGCAGTGCCCCCAGGGAGCCCGCGCCGGCGACCCTGCAGTGCGGCTGTGAGGGCAGCAGGGTGCAGCACCAGCTTGTCTCAGGCACCATCAGGGCCAGCTTGACCCACTTGGGTGGGGGCTGAAATGTATGGTCTCTACAATCCCATCTGACTCCATGATTTTAAATCTTGTGAGGACCCGTGGGACCTGGCTTTATTTTCTTAGACAAAAGATCTGTTATGGATCCATAAAATGGAGAGAATAAGGACAGAGCAAGGCCACCGGGGAACCTTGTCACCCACTGAGCCGGCCTCTGAGCCTTCGTGCACAGGCCCCTCTGTCCAGAGCCATTTCGTTCTCACTAGGCTTTTCCCCACCATGTGCAGCATCGCTGGTGTCTGTGAAGGGGGGGGTCCCCCTGGGAATGGAGAGGGCCAGGGAACCCCAGGCCAGGGCTCCCGTAGGCTAAAGCTCCATATCAGTCCCAAAGGAAATACTCTTTTCCATTCATCAGAGGCATTAACATGCCCCTAATGAGTAAATCTGCAAACTCTATAGTTTAGGGATCGAGAACACAGAATATAGAGTTGACGTGACTTGAATCTGCCTGGCTGTAAGACAAGGGTAATAGTGATGCCCATCATTGGGGATGACACGAGACAGTGCATTCACAGGGCCTGGCCTGCCATCAATCTTCAGTGAGCCACAGGTATTACATAGATGCCATTTGTCAGAAACACGATGATGCACATTCACCAGCAAAGTGATAGCAAACCTCAAACACAAACCACCCTCCACGGCGTACGTGCAGAAACACAGATGTTCATTTTTTAAAATACAGAGCACTCTGGTTTCTGGTTGGGCCTTTCCAAGTCTGCGGTTCTGGGCTTGTGGGTGGAAAAGTGCTTGGCTGTCTGATTTCCAGCCTCTGAATTGACCAGGGAGACTTTCAAAGCCCCTCTGTAGTCACTTCTCTGCAGGTGCTGGTTGCTCCCAGGGCTGTCTCTAGGGTGGGGACCGTGGTCCAGGCCCTGGGCTGGCAGAATGCCTCCTTAGGAAAGCTTTCAAGGCACAACGACACATTTCTGGTCACCTACTCTGCTGCCCACGGGGCAAGCTAGACAGCAAGATGGGTGGGGATGTGGGAAAGATGAGAAGGTGAAAGGAAGCCTCTGCAGGCAGGAAGCACCTGTGCCCCAGAAGGGGTGACAAGGGGGCAGTGCTCTTTGTCTCCCCCACCAGTCAAGGCCCTGGCTGGAGCACGAAGCTATTTGCAGAAAGGTGGGAGGCCAAGGCTCTCTGGTTCCTCCCAGGGCTGGCCTTCCACCTAGATAGAGTATGTGGAAGCCCCAGGAAGTACCCACAGTCACTGGACAGGCTGTCTCTAGTGCCTGAAATTCTACTGTTATAAATTCATTTCTTAGTGTTGAAAATTGCCCCCTCTGCAGATCCTTTTCATGAAATAAACATTTTTTTGGGGGGAGAGGCAAGTCACAAACACTTGTGAATGACTGCCTCTTTACAAAATTGCTTTCAGCCTTGACAGCACAGACCAAGACAGGGTGAGGACACTGGGAAAAACTGGGGTGGACGTTAGCAGTATAGCTCTAAAGGATGCAAATGGTGTAGTGGCCTTAGAGTCTGTGGAACGAATTCCTGGCCTGAGGATCAAATCTGGCTGCAAATGCATTTTGATTTGCAAGCACCAGGTGTTAAGTGAATTAAGTGCAAAGGCCTCAGCAGGTCTGCGGGCCCTCCGCTCCCCCAGGCATGTGTGCCTCACATGCTCAGTTCACCTGATGCACCTCGAGGGCCTCTGGGTGAAGGACTCCTGCATTTTAGACAACCTGGCCTCCATGCCCGTGTTTTGTGTTTGGGCACTAAAAGGAAGGAGGTTGCTTCACCTCTTGCTGGAGAAAAGACCCCTCCTCCCATCAGCAGGGGCCTGGAACCACTTCCCACACTCCTCACCTGGAACAAGTAGTCTCCGGGAGGCACATCTGTGATGTCCACCCACTGGCAGTCGATGTCATGGCGGTACACGTCCCAGCAGCCCATGGTGATGCCCTGCTCACCAAAGTTGGCACACTCGTAGCTCTTCTGGCTATCTGCAGCAGGGGCCGAGGGAACCCAGTCACCGTGATGCACCCACGGCCCCTCTGCCGTCTGTGCCGTCTACCCCAGGCCCCTCCTTCAGCACCTCGCTTCCTTCCCCAAGCCCCCCCAACCTTTGCCTCATAGGGCTCGGTATCCCACCCACACTGCGTGGTGCCTGATCCTCTCTCCTTTCAACAGAATCCCTTGCTCAATTTTCTACCCACATCCCAGCCCTCCCTTCAGACCTGGCCAGGGTCCCCCTCCTCCACAAAGTCTTCCCTGGCCACTCTGGCCCACACTGGCCTTTCTGAGGAATCATTAGCCTGGGAATGGAGTGAACGCTTAACTGGGAAAACTCTGGCGTTTATTATTTAGTGTAATGTGGAGTCATCTTGTCTCCCTCTGAACAACCAGCACTGGGATTTGGGCTAGGGTCTGGTTTGTCTGTCTTCTTAACTGGGAAAACTGTGGCGTTTATTATTTAGCGTAATGTGGAGTCATCTTGTCTCCCTCTGAACACTGGGATTTGGGCTAGGGTCTGGTTTGTCTGTCTGACCCTTACTGGGCCAGCTGGTTGTCTGGCGTACAGTAGGTACTCACAACCCACTTGCTGTGTGATTTCACGGCACATCAGTGGCAGTCACATTTGTTGAGAGGCTGCCATGTTGGGCGCTACTCTGAGCACTGGGTATATCAAGAAGCGCGTGTCTGCCTGGGACGAGCCCGTCATGTCAGGATGGCAGATGTACCCACGGGGGTCACAGTGCAGATGGGGCAGCCTCCCAGAGGTGTGAGCAGAGTGCTGCCTCTGCCTGGGGAGTCGAGAGAGTCTGGGAACCTCAGAAGGGGTCACCTGAACTTGTACTTGAAGGGTAAGAGCCAGTGCGGCAGGGGCATTTGGCATTGAGACACAGGGAGAACGGCTGTGACAGCCAGGGCGGGAGGGAACTATGTGTTCGGTCGGAGGGTGGCCCCGCCAGTGCCCGTCAGCATAACTCTGGGGAATCCAGGCACCTTTATGGCCAGGCCTTGCCAGCACCCCAGCCCCAAGCACAGCCGTGGAAGCCCCAGTCAAGAAAGGTCACGTGGAGAGTCAGCTGTGGCCACAGTGACACAGTCCAGTGTCACACCTGGGCTCCGGGCTGGGTGGGCACGGACACGGGAGCATGCGAGTCCCTCTGAAGCATCCCAGCTCCCCACACAAAAGTACCTCCTTCACATTCTGTGTCCTCCAAGCAGAAGCTGGCTTTGTGGCCCTCTGCCACCTTGGTGCCATTGAGGTTCAAGAGGTCATAGTGGGTGAACACTTCCATGCTGTGGTAGTGCCTGCAGCGAGAGACAGGGCCTGGGAGTCAGTCTCCAGAGCGACTGCCTGGCTGGCGATTTTCCTCCGGGGACAATGGCCGAAAGGGGCGGCCGGTGGGAGAGGAGGGATGATGGGGCATGAGGAACGGAGGATGGAAGCGGACGGCGGTAACCGTGCTGTTGACGTGGGCTCAGCGGTCGGCCAGCCGCTCACTTCCCGGGCCTCAGTTCCCTCATCAGCTAAATGGGAATGATAAAGTATGGCATGTGTGAGGGATTGTGGGAATGAGTAAGGAGAACTGATGAGCACAGGACCTGGCACGCGATAGACTCAGTGAATTAAGACATTTGTGATAAGTGCTTTCGATAACCCTCCTGAGCCCCCAGAACTCTGACAGCCCATTCCTACTCGGTACACTTTCTGCAGACTGGTGAAAGTCACTTTCCGATGTCTTTTGAAAACTCTTTAAAGTGGGAATATGGTAGGGAGGGACAGAGACGAGAAAGGGGCGGGTCCTCAGAGTGCGGGGGCGGGGCTTCATCAGGCTCCCGCGACGGAGCAGGCACTAAAGCCTCCCAGGGACACGCAGGCAGGAGATGGGGACTGCGGGGGTGCCCAGCCCCCCTGGGCAGCCTATGGCCTGGGTGGGGAGGCTCAGCAGCAGCTGGACGTGAGCAGCAGGAGGTCTGTGTTCCTTGCATGGAACAAATGAAAGAGGAGAAGAAAAAGACAGCTCCGGGGGCCTGTGGGAGGGAGGAGTGAAACGGAGAGAGCTCCGGGGCCAGGCCGCAGGTTTACATCCCAGTGTCCCATCTCTTCGCTGGGGGGATGCAGAATTGAGAACAGATGCCGATGCTCGGAAATTGATGCATTTGGTTCTGAATAAACATGGGGAAACATGGCTGCTGTGGGCCTATCCTGAGGCACTGGCTGGCCGGGCCCATTCTAAGCTGCCACACGTGTGTCACAAGTCTGCACCTATCGAACGCACTTGTCTCTCATTAAGGGACATCTGGGAATTGCGGGAAACGGAAGACAAGGTACCAAGGCCCAGGGAGCAGAATCACTTGTTTTCTTTATGGGCGACCTGAGTTTTCTCCTCAGGGAAGAGGGAATGATAATAGAACCCAGTCTCAGGGGTATGTAAGAATCACCGTATGGGAGAAATCGCAGAAATACCTGACACAGAGAGCTTGTGACAGAGGAGTGCTCAGTACCCGTCCACTCTCTCCTTAGGCCATTCGCAGCAGTAACAGGAGGCGTCTTTTTATTATTACCACCAGCAAGCACTACGTTCCACTACCATCCCCAAGTGGCTTCCACACCTCCCAGCCTCACTGGCTGGCTTCGGGCTCTCTCCACTGGCAGTAGAGGACAAAGGGAAGAGGGGAATTAAAGGGACAGGTTTTCGAAGAGGAAACTTCTGACATTATTTTTAGCACAAGCAAACCCCTTTCTCCTGGGTTTGCTTGTGCTAAAAATAATGTCAGAAGTCCCTACACTGGGCTTTTCCCAGGTCACTCATGTGTCTGGGTAAAATGATACTGAGCCAGGGGCCCACGGAGAACGTTCACAAGGACGCATTTTGTGGTGGCCAAAGAGACGACTTGGAGAGAGTCTCTTTCGGCTTCTCGAAGGAGCGACATGAGACATGAGGTCTGACTCATTGCCTAAAACATGTCTGCATCTCTCAGAGAGCAGCTTCTGTTACCATGTTTACCAGCTGGAAAAACTGAAGAGAAATGGGTTTGTGTTCTGTTGTCTAAACAAAACTCAGACGGAGGCCACAGATGGACTGTTTGTTGTAAGGCTGACCTCCTCCCGCTCCCCCTGCTTCCTGCAAACTTGAATTAAGAGTCTTCCCAAGCTCTTCAGTTTTTCCCCTGTGAACACCGGGAGGGAAACAGCTGGTTTGGAGCCGCCCAGTTCTAGCTGGAGTCTCTCTGCTTTACCTCTTGGGCATACGCGGACATCACCGCCGGAGCCCCGTCTGGCAGGCTGGAGAGCCCAGTGGCACCCCCATCTCCACCACCCACACACACCCCAGGGAAGGTGGGAGGGGGTGTCCTGGTGAGGAGGGTACAATTCTTCTCTGCAGGCTGAGCCGTCTCCTTTGGAAGACAGGGCCTGATCCACGAGGTAGAGACAGCAAAGCTCCTCTGGGAAAGAAAGTCCAGAACACTAAGGGGAGAGAGAATAACCCGACACTCAATGGAGGTCACTGGATTCTACATAGAGGAAAGACAGCCTCCGACTGAAAGACTTCAGAGCCCAACATCAGAAGACATGGTGCTCATGGAGGGAGGAGGTGCTGGATGCGTACTTGATGACAGACCAAAGCAGTCCAGAGAAAGGCGGGTAGTTTGGATATAGTCTTTGTTATTCTAGGTTGTTGGGAGCCCAAATAAAACTCAACCAGAGAACCAGTGCATGTTGTAGAGGAGATGTTTCTCATTTTTCACCCTTTCCCCGCGCTGGCCACCTGTCTCCCAGTGCCTCCAGAACGGATGGTCCTGGCTGGCACTCAGCCATGGTGGGACAGTGCTCCTGTCCCCATTTCAGGGTGTGTTCTAGACTCAGAAGATGCTGCCACAACAAGCAGGGACCCTTCCGCTTGCTCCATCCTGCCTTCCCGACATGCTAGGCAGCCCCCCAGCCAGAACAAGGCCCCACAGATATGATAAGGGCCTAAAATTAGCTCACAGAGGCCACATCACATCTATGAGACTTCGATCCAACATGGGAGCTGCTTCCCACTGGGGGACGCAGGGCGAAGCAAACAAAGCCATCTCCGACTTGGAGGGCTGGCATCTGAGCTGGATGTCCACCTCCCTGCCTCTCTAGCTCCCAGCACCTCTCCCGGGCTTCCCAAAGGTAGGAGGGCCAGCCCTGGGACACAGCGGGGACAGAGCTGCTCTGAGCCCTGCAGCACGTTTGTGTCCAGCTTTTTTGGCCCCTGTCAAAGCTGTGACATGGTGTGCCAGGTAAGCAGGTATGGCTCTCTTCCCTGGGGGCACAAGAAGCAGGAAGGGGACCTCAGCAAGTTCCCCAACCTAGGGCAATGCGTATGAGGAAGAACGATGTAGGGCACTGTCCTCTATGTCTGACTGGCGAGGAGCCTCCTCAGGGGGTCAGTCTCTGTGTTTCATCTTAGGGCTTTCAAAGAACATAGCTCTTTTCCTCACTGCAGCATTAATTAAAATGGGAGCGATCGTTTCCCCCATTTGTACTAATGTGAGCCAGCTTTCTCAACTTTGACTCCATAGAAATAGGATGTTAAATATTCCAGAAATAATTTTTTTTGAGTAGAGGAAAGGCCAGCTTTCATGAGACTCCCAAAGCGACCCAGCAGAGGTTTGGGGTCACGAGTCTTGTTGAAAAGTCCTCCCACAGAGCCTGGAGAAGTCCTTGGAGCTCTGGAGCCAGGGCGTGGGGCCCTCGTATGTTCCCTGGGACCCTATGGTCGTAGGTTCTCAGTGATAGACCAAGAGGGGAGGTCTGAAGGGACATATGCTTAGCTACATGTTCTTTCCCGTCCACCCCTCCCAAACCGTTTACTGGAACATCTGTAAGCCAAGAAATAGAATAGACCACAGGAAGAGCAGGGGTGGGGCAATCAGAAGAAGCACTTCTACAGTGTCACCACGCGTATCCTCAGAGGAGAGACCATTCCTGGGAGAGCAAGCATCTGTCACACAGAGACTCCTTCCATGTAATGTCTGGGTGGACCGCCACGTGTGGGGGCAGAGATGCAATTACGTTCCACTTATAGACGCACAGGCAGCGTCAGCCCCCGCGGGACCAGGCTCCCGCCATGTGTCCTCTGAGGAAATCAGGCACAAATATGGTAATGACTTTCATTTTACCCTTCGACTTCCACCCTGCAGAAGACCGACATGCTTCTATATAAAGAGCAATTCTTGGGCTAATTGGGACTTTGAGAATGTATAGACAGTCATTACAAAGAGAAATCGGCAACCTTAAATTTTGTCATCGTCCTTTCCTTTGACACAGTTGAACAATTCTATCCGCACACTAACTGGAATGTGACCAGACCATAAGCTGTCACATGAAAAAGCAGCCAGAGACGGATTTCTGATGCAGGTCCAGCGGAGGTGACAAGAGCGCACACTTTGGGCTCAGACAGTCTCGGGTCGGAATCCCCGCCCAACAGCTTCCTGTGTCCATCAAGCTCCAAGCCTCCATTTCCTTGCCTTTGAAAATGAGGGTGTTCTGTCCCTGGCACTTAGAAAGGGGCCAATAAGTGTCAGTTATTGTGTCCCTAACAGTGATCACCGCGTTTTAGAGCAGGAAGGACACCTAGAGATGAGCTGGATGGGGGCTTCTCAGACAGCGATGCGCACACCAGCGCTGGGCCCTGGGGTGCAGCGCTGATGGCAGGTATGTCAGCCACGAGCCTCATTTTAAAAAGCAAGGAATGGGTGCAAAAGCTCTGTTGTGTAGATGGGATTCTGAGCACAGAGACGAGCGCTCACGGGGCCAACATACGTGGACCCCTCGGGGGCTGCCGCCGCCATGCTGAATGGCAGGGACGTCCCTGCCTTCCTTTTCAAAAGCGTGCTCGCTTCTGTTCCCTCCACCTGCCCAGCTCAGGTCTGCGCAGGAAAATGTGAACAAGCATTCTGGATCAGAGTAAGAATCAAGGCAGAGGAAAAAGAAAAAAGAAAAGACTGAGAGATGAACACGGTGGCTTCTGTTGGCTCCAGCAAGGACTGGCTCTAAGATTTCACTGTTCTTGGCCAGGATTTACAGCTCTGGGATCAAATCCACAGGCTGAGGGCTGGAAGGGACATTAGAGGTCTCAGGTGATGTGGCTCAGCTGGTCAGAGGCACAGCTGGGTTGAGAGAGCAGGTCTCATGACTCCTGGGGGTAGAATGCTGTCTCCACACCCACTGTCATCTTAGAGATATTTAAAATATATGCAGGTATTTAAAAAATATTTTTAAATGAACTCAGAGTTCAATAATTGCAGGAACCCCAAATACCCTGCAGAGCATCAACTTCCTGTGGACACACTTGAAAACCACTGAACGAGGTCAATGAAGGGGCATTGGGTACTCAAAACAAAATTTGTTTCCTCACGTTAGAGGCATTGGAGGTGAAAGAGAGAGAATGAGCTCAGGGAATGAGCTCATGGGCGGGCCAGGGCAACTGGGAGCGGAGCGTGGCTTCAGCAAACGTGACGGGCCAGCGTGGCAGATCTGACTCCCGCCAGCTTAGGAAAGCCCTGTGCCCTGGGCCGTGTGGCCTCTCTAAGTGACCCAGTGATTCTGAATCCCGATGGAAGTGAGGCTTACCTGTGGCAGTCATGCCAGATCCACGCATGGCGGCCGTTCTTGGGCCGGAAGTCGGACTGGCCATTGTTGTGGATCTGGGAGGAGAAGCGAAGCAGCCGCCGGTAGCCTGAGGTGGGGTTGGTCTGGGCGGCCGAGGCCGAGAGGCAGTTCTCCTCCATGGCGCACTGCAGCATGAACATGGGTCGGTCCTCCAGGTAGGTGCTCTGCTGGACGATCTCCGCATTGAGGACCAGGTCAGGGGCGGCTGAGGGGGCAGACACGGTGTGCAAGGAAGATAAGAGGCCCCTCATCCCTTCCCAAGTGGTTGACTTCCGATTCCTAAGCTGGGACAAACCCCCGGCCCTGCTTAGCACCACCTCCTGGAACTGGCTCATGGCCCCCCGCCCCAAGGTCACCTCCCCTGAGGAACTCTACCCCAAATGCCTCTTCCCCCTCTCTGACAGTCTTCTTGGATGCCTCTGCAGCTCTCAGTGCAGATGGGCAAAACACTGACAGCTATTCAATCTAGGTGATGGGTACGTGAGGGTTTATTCTCTCTACTTTCGAGTGGTTTCAGGTTTTGTCCATAATGAAAAGCAAACAATAACAATGACAATGACAAACGATAACAACGTTCCCTCTACCCAGAGAGAGAACACTCTTAATACCTTGCTCCGACTCTTCTGGAAGTGGTACGGATCTATTTTCCAAAGTGTGTAATATCGTGTGTAGATTTATAGCCTGCTAATATTGGCTCCCTTCAAATACATCTCGACATATTTCCTTGTTAATAAATATAAATGACAACATCCATTACGTGGCTGCATAATATTTAATTCATAACCCTAGCCCACATTTTCTGATCCATTGGTTGGGTGGAACTTCTCTCAGTTAAAGATAAAGCTGCGATAAAACATCTTGTAGTAAATCTGTGTATATAACTTCTTTAGAATATCTTTCTATCAGTGGAATTGCTGGGAGGAAGAGTTGCATATTTTCAAGGCTCTGATGTATATCTCTAAATTGCCTTCTTATCCAGTTCTTCCAGTTTCCACTCACACCGGCTCTGGGCGAGAGTTTTAAAAGTGCATCTTTTAAAACAAGGTTGATCTGCTCAGTTACCACACTGCACATAGCAGGTGTTAAAAAGAATTAGTGATGGCTACAATCTATATTTATTGTATAATTGTATGAGGTTTTGCTTGTTTCCAAAAGGATTAACTATGTTTCCATTTAAAAGTGAGATTCCCCTGAGCATTTCTAGCACACTTCATAAAAATGTTGTATATGATTCATTGACAACCAGATCCATCCACCTTGTATTTTCTGACAAGTCGCTTGTAAATTTCTAAAGTGTGTGTGCCCGTGAGCTTTGCTTCCCTCAAGTTCATCAGAGCCTGGAGTACTCTCCGCTGCCTGCACCCCCTCCCCACAGCCCCACGCTGCACCAGGAGCACAGTGGGTTCCCAAGGAACCCTTGTACCTGGTGGGGCCGGGGACCTCTAAAGAGCAAACCCGCCCCAGGGACTGGATGTGGGACCGGGGATTAGTGAAAGGGCACACAGCTGAGATGTGGGGCTGGGAGTGGAAGACAGAAACCGGCAGGCTCCCATTGGCTGAGAACTCTCTCTTCTTGGAGGGCACGCACCAGGATCCAACGCTGCTGGCACTGAGTGTGCTGGGCACTTTTATCACAGGGTGTTGACAGTCTCATTAGTAAATGTACAAGACTCTAGAGTCCATATTTTTTATTAACCTCTCTCGGCTCCATTTAGAGCCACTACTTTTTAGCCAATATCTACTTTTCTTTATCCACTTTTATCTTCTGCTACCTTGAATTTCATTCAGGTTTATATTATCTAAATTTCCTTTTGGGAATAAAAAAGTATATTATAAATATAAATAAATTAATAAGCCAAGAAAAGGCCCCTGACAGAGGTAAGATGCCTCTGTCTGCTTGAAAGTTCTCCCCCTGGGGCTTAGTCTGTCCTCAGACAGGATGCTGTAGCTTGGGCTGTCTGCCCCTGAGCTGGTGTCGTGTCCTGTCTGACAAGGGTTAGGAAATGCTGAGTGAGTCTAAAAGGGGTCCATGGGAGAATTGAACTGACCGAGGTCAAGGTTTAATCTCCCTAGTACTCCATGATGGTAAGTGACAATGCATCATTGTTTAGTAAGCACCACATATGTTCATTGTCACATCTAATTTCCAGTTTCCAGGTAAAACAACAACAACAACTATAGATCATAGTGGTTAACTAACTTTGCCAAGATCAGCAATAAGTGCAAGGCAGGGTCTGGTCTCAGGTTGTCTGGTCAGATCCTGCGCCTCTCCTGCATCCCTGATTCACAAGGGAGTGGTTTTATAAGGCCAGGGGTGGGGTGAGTGGAGTTTGGGGATCCAGAGAGACAAGCCCAAAGGCTGTCCTCTAGTCCTCTCTCTCAGCATGAAAGAGAACCTGCCAGAGCTAGGTAATTCTGAATCCTGGTGGGGCTTCTCCTATATTTTCAGTCTCTCTAGGATCCAGGGAGTCACCAAGGGGCTAAATCGCCTCCAGGGTGTGAAACAGGAAATGATTTATGGAACAGGGCAAAGGAAGAAAGTCAGCGGGCACACTGAGCCCCTGGCGTGAGCTTCGTGCTTCCCTAATCTCAGCAACATCCTCTGAGGAAGGTGTTCTCTTCCTCGTTAACTGGTCAGAACAAGGAGTTCTCAGCCCCGTAATTTGCCCAAGGTCCCTTAAATAGTCTACGGTGGCCCTGAGATTTGAACACAAGGCCCCTAGACTCCCCAGTTCCTCCCTCCTGCTTTCCTTTTCCCTGTCATCAGCAAGGTTCTGTGCTTGGGGGTGGGGAAGTCCCTTTGCCCCCAGCTTCCCACTCAACAAAAATTAACCTCTGCTTTCCTCTTTTGCTCGTTTCACGGCAGAGACCCCAGAGCCTTGCAAGGAATAACCAGTGTCCCCTCCTGCAGCCTGGTAGGGAGGGTGGATGCGACCCCCAGGAACTCTCACTTTCTGAGCAGGCGACTCCAGCTCCGTACTGCATTCCGCCCTGGGGGCAAGCCACATCCTCGTCATGGCGACAGTGTTCCAGGGACAGCTCCGTTCCAGAGCACTTCACTCCGCTCATGGCCACTTTATTGGCATTGATGTTTTCGTGCCAATACCAGGTCTCCTGGAGAATCAACAAAAGAAATGGCCAGTATGTCACCTTGAACGGTCACTTTCTCATATCCTATCAACTTTCAGCCTTATAAAAATCCCGAGGCTTTATGATGCCATTTTCCGGATGGAGACAGCCGTGGCACAGAGGCACTTATCCAAGCCACACAGTCTGTTCGCGGCAGAGTGAGTGGGACTCCAGGTCTTCTGACCTCGAGACTTGGATGCTGCCACTCACCCTCTCTAGGAGCATCGCTAAGGTTGCTTTGGCCAAAGTACTGTTCAATGTCATGTGTCAGGAATGGCAGGCACCTGCAGCGCATGCCACCACCTGACTCATCCTGAGCCCAGGGCAGACATTACTCATCAAGCATAGCACTCTCTCCTCTAAGCCTGACTATGATCTCAGAATCCTTCTCAACACAGTGCTCCAGAAAGACACTGCCGATTGATCAGAACTGGAGAGAAGAAATTTCTTTGCAAATGTCAGTCGTCAGATATTCCTGCATCCTATTGGCTCTGTTTCTTCAGAGAACCTGACTACACACCCCTCATCCTCAAGAGAGAAAACTGGAGCCTGGAGAAGGGACAGTGCTTGCAGTCAGTGGCAGATTAGGGACCGATATCAGGTTTAGGCCCATTTCACAACCTCAGCCGAGGCCCAGATGTCTTAGTAATGAGCTGATAGGGAACAAAAATAGCTGGACAGCCACTCTGTTGTAACGAGCACTGTTTTTCTACTCTCCTGGAAGAACCAGAAAGTCCTGGTTCGTCATGAGCAGTATTAGCAGAGACACTACATTGCCCTGGGAAGCCAGGCTCCCAGAGGGTGTGGGGAGCAGTGTCATGCGGGAGGGTGCAGCGGCTGTGACAAGGGTTCTGCATGGGCTTGGAAATTTAGCAGCCAATCAAAGGGAGAATGCACGAGCATGGTCACCAGCTGGGACCATGTTCTGGCCAGAGGGGCCTCCCAGGGAGCAAGCGAGGCCTATGGGGTGTTGGGCCTTGGCCTTGGGTGGTCTCCACTCCCCCATAGGATCGAGTTGCTTCCCTCTGCAAATGGCACATCAGGACACCCCAGGATCAGCCTTCAGCCTAGGGTGAATCCCAGTGCACAAAGCTGAGTGGACTGGGGAACCAGAGTCTAGACTCTCATTCTTCAGCAGAGAAAAAGAGGTGGGGGGTGGGGGCGTGACCTGCCTGAGGACTCAGAGCTGTGAGGGGCAGAAGCGAGGTCAGGATGAGGTCCCTGCCTCCTGGCCCATGACACTTTGCCCTCTTCCTCCTGGGTAGCTGGGTTAGGTCCATGGAAGACGGGGCTGACTAGAGGCGGGCAGGCTCACACTAGATGGAGGGGTCTGAGGCGGGGACTTCTCACCTGGAAAGCGCTGCTGGCGAACCCCAGGCCCAGCTGCCGGCAGACCACCATGGCCTCCACAATGCCCCAGTTCTCGCCACACACCGTCCCCCATATGAGGGACCCGTTCCTCTCCACCAGCACCTCCACCCGGCCCTCGTAGGGGTTTCGGCCCCCGTTCAGGCGCAGCTGTAGAGAGAAAGGCAGGCATGGTCACTGGGAGGGGACAGAGAGGAGCAACCCCCTGCATTGCCATCGGTCCCATTTTCCCCAAGCCATGGAGTCCTGCCTGAGACAGCATCACTGAGAGCCTGTCGTGTGCCAGCATCATGTCCAGCGTGGTCTTACTTATTAAGTCCTATCTCAGGGCTCTAGAAGCCTGCGTAGCCGGGAGGCCCACTGACCCACACTGAGCACTGCAGCAGAATCTGCCTCTGCTCCCAGCTACTCCCCGTGAACCTACCAGTGGGGGGCTACTTATTGAAGCAGACACTTGGAAGGATGCACCGAGGGGCCTTAAAATGTTAGAATTCCCCAAGATTCCTTCCTGGGCCCTTTTCTCCTTGCCACATCCGCTCTGGCTGGTTCCAGCCCCAGATCTCACCTCCTCCCACAGCGCCCCCTGTTGTCCTCTCCACACAGAACTCTCTTCTGAGACCCATGATAGCAAACTGCCTACTTGACAGTTCTTGGCATCTCAAAGACCCCTAATCTGAACCTGTCCTTTTTCATGTCTCCACCTAACCCCGTATCTCCCCCTTATTCTTTATTTTAGCTAAAGGCAGTACCATCTATCCTGAGACAGCAAACTTTCTCTAGAGGGCCAGGCGGCACATATTTTAGGCTTTGTGGGCCTTATGCTCTCTGTCATAAGCACTTAGCTCTGCCAGGTAGTGCGCAAGCAGCCACGGACGACATGTAGATGACCGGGCATGGCTGTCTTCCAAGAAAACTATATTTACAAACACAGGCAGAGGGATAGGTTTGGTCTGTAAGCTGTAGTCGGTTGATCCTGAATCGCTTCTGTTGAACAAGCCAGAGATTTGGGAGCCATCCTCGACAACGTCCTCCTCCTCAGCCCCCACATCCTGGTGGAATTATGTCCCAAGTCTCTCTCCCGTCTGCCTGCTTCCCTCCAGCTCCATCCCTACCCCATCTCTCAGAAACCACCACTTCTTGCACGAACCTGACTGCCTCGCCTGTCGATGGGCCGCTTGCCTTCATCAACCCATTCTCCACTCAGAAGCCAGAGTCATCTTATTTATTTACTTATTTGTTTGTTTGCTTGTTTATTTATTTGGCGAGGCAAGCCTCGGTTGACCTCACAGATTGCAAGGACCTTGTCAGTTTACAATCCCTGATTTTTTTACTTTATTTTTTTCACCTACACCACCTGGTCTTCCTAGGTGGTCTCCCATCCTAGTACTAACCAGGCCCGACCCTGCTTAGCTTCCGAGGTCAGACAGGATCGGGCTTATTCAGGGTAGCATGGCCGTAGACAGAAGCCAGAGTCATCTTTACAAAACACCTGCTTAGAACAGGTCTGTGGCTTCCCAGGGCTCCACCGCTCTCCTCTGCCACCTCGTCACATGTCTCTCTCACCCTCGTTCTCCAACCTTGGGGCCCACGGGCCTCCTTTCAGTTTCTGTGGTTACTTAACCTTCTTTATCGTGTCCCACAGTAAGTCACACATCTCACGTGGAAGCCCACTACCTACAGAGGCCCTTTCCTGGCTGATCCCGTTCCTCTGTTCAATTCCATACCCACTGACATTGGCTTCCGGGTGGGGCCAGTGCCCTCTTACACTCTCTATGGCTCCCTATTGTATCGGAAGCCCCAGCAGTTGGGTTTTCTCTTTTTTTCTGTAGTGCAAGCACCAGGCTTAAGCTTTGATTACTGAGGCATCCCTTTCAAAGAAGGTTATCTTAAATAAACACATGGCCAGCCATGGGACAGATAAAGAGCCAGGTCTCCTCAGCCCATAGACGTTCCTTTGCTTTAGAGATCTTGGTTGATTTCGATAACTGACCATTTGCGCCACTTGTTTTTTATTTTCTTCCTGTGCTTTAAAATCCCTGTCTTATGTTTTATATTCAGCAATAACAACTGAGCCCTTGGGATCTTAGGCCCTCACCTTTGACCCCGATAAAATGGAACCCCAGCCCCATGCACTCTCTCTCTTCCCGCGACCTCACTGTGTGGCCCCAGCGGGGCTGTGTAATTTCCAGGTCCTGTAGGTAATATTTTTTCCTAAGTTTTCTGATGGCTACTGCTAAAGGGCATCTTATGATCGTAATAAAAACCTACGAGGCCAGTCCATCCACACATTGGTTATTGATAGGCTGAGACTAGCACACGACATCTATACATTTCCTTAGAATTTATGACTATTATAATTAAGCTAACATAAAATCTGTTTAACATCTGTCTCCTCAGCTAGAACGTAAGCTTCAAAGGGCAGAGTTGTATTTGTCTGCTTTCCTATGTAGTCAATATCTAAGACAGCACCTCACGGATGTCAGGTACTCTACAACTATTTTTGGAACAATGAGTAAACGATCAGTCTTACGGAATGAAAGCATGGACCAATTTATATGAGCTGAAGCAGAGAGCTCTGGAGTTTGGGGAAGGGTTCTAAAAATGCAAACCTTAATCCAAATGCCTTACCCTGATATCCTTTATGCTTCTAACGATTCAACAATTCATGCCTTTGGGAGAAGGCATGACACCTCCAGGAATCTTCAGCACTTTAAGCTGTTTGGTCACTAGCCCTTAGCAACAGCACGACAGCTGATCAATCCTTAGCAACAGCACGACCCCCCCCCATCCCCTGTGGCACGGGTCTTAATTCCTACTATGGGCTTAGGGGCTGCAAGGGTCAGTGAGGTTAGCCAGCAAACAGACAGGCCAAGGGCAGCCGTTATACTCTATCTCCCAGGGTTGTTGAGTAGATGAAATACAAGAGTTCATGAAAAGTGCTCCGACGGGGCCTGTCACACCAGGAGTACTCAAAAAATATTAGATACCATCACAGCAATGATCGCTATTAGCTGGAAGTCTCATCAAAAAATACAGCTCTCTTCAGAGGAGATAGAGGGCTCAAAGCAGGCAAGAGGGCTGGCCTTCGGGAGGCTGATGCTGGTCTTTCTAGTGCCCCTGGCTTCACTGTGGCTGGATGGACAAAATCATTTTCAGATCTGTGCCCTTCCTTAGTCATTCGGTGAAAAGTCAATTGACTTTTTCTAGGGATCATCACTCTCACCTCCTTATTTTCAGAGGCGCAAACTGAAGCCTCAAAGGGATGAATGAATCAGCTCGAGAGGGATTGTTTTGAACTAACTTGTGTCCTTCTAAAATTCATATGCTGAATTCACATGCTAACCGCCTGTGAAAGCGCCTTTCGAGAGGTAATGAAGGTTAAATGAGGTCATATGGGTGGGGCTCTAACATGACTGCTGTTCTCACAAGAGGAAGAGACACAAGCACAGCAGAAAGGCCATGCGAGGACACAGTGAGAAGGTGGCCATCCGCGAGCCAAGGAGAGGGGCCTCAGGAGAAACCAACCCTGTTGGCACCTAGATCGTGGACTTCCAGCCTCCAGAACTATGAGACAATACATTTTATTGGTTAAGCCACCCAAGTCTGTGGTATTTTGTTCCGCTAGTCCCACAGGGAGGCACAAGCACAGCACAAAGGCCATGCGAGGACACAGTGAGAAGGTGGCCATCCGCGAGCCAAGGAGAGGGGCCTCAGGAGAAACCAACCCTGTTGGCACCTAGATCGTGGACTTCCAGCCTCCAGAACTATGAGACAATACATTTTATTGGTTAAGCCACCCAAGTCTGTGGTATTTTGTTCCGCTAGTCCCAGCAAACTGACACAGTGATAAAACTCAAGAGTCTCCATTGTTCTGTCCAGGGCTGCTGCCAGAACCCTTCGGGCCCCCAAGCCAGGCCATGCGGAAGCCCAACCCACTGCTGTGTGGAGAAATGGTGCAGCCAGTGGGGATTTCTTTCACAGGTGACTTTCCTCATTTCCTTCCGGGGGGGATAGCAGCAGCAGATCCAGGTGTAAAACTCTCCCACACTCTCTAGTTGAGAGCAGGGGTCACTTCCTAGAGCCTAGAGAGCCAGTGAAAAGGTGAGCACTGTTTGTGCTGGGAGGGTGGGGCCTCCTCTGGCATCACCTGGCACGTGACCCGGCTTGGCGATTCTCACCATAGAACGGTTCTGGAAAACTTCACTTTCTTTGGCCTAGGTCTTCCATTTGGGTTGAAAACTCTACTCCACCCAGCTCCAATCTGTCTAAAGTGAATGGTGCCACGGCACGCCAGACTCAGTGTGTGTCAGCTTTTATAGCTCTGTTATGGCTGTCTTGGAACACTGCTGAACAACCACAGATGGCCGGCCTTCCGGCAGCTGTGGGGCTGTGGCCCACGCTCCTGCTCACCCACAAGCAAATTCATGGTTCAGTTGAGTGTTATTGGGTTCACATTTTTGGCCCATTGGGCGGTGAGTTGCACGAGAGGTTGTGGTTGACCATGCTGGTGCCAAGGTCAAGAATCACTGTCAGAGCAGGAACCTGGCTGGGGAACCAGCCTGTACCCCAATGTGCCCGCATTTGCTCATTTTAAAAATTTAAGTATTCAAGAAGCTCCTCCAATGTGCCAGCTGTGTACCAGAAGATGCACAGACCTGACCACATTCACGGCATAGTGAAGAGAGTTAAAGAGGATTTACTGGGCCTTTTAGAAGGACCTCCCAGCAAAGAGGAAGTCAGATTTTTGGCTACCCTTGTGGGCAGGTCACCCAAGCTGGGAGACACACTGTAGGTTTTTCGAGACTCTGATTCAGGGGGGAGGGTGTGTTTCTGGCATAATGCTGTTAAGTTTCCCTTTTCTTCCCCTCATGTTACCAGGATCCAGTCTTCTGTTCCAAAACACTGTCTGTATAGTGCTTACATCTGTATGATTTGCAGATCTGCTGTCGATGTGGCTCCTCTGGGTTCTCATAAAGGGCGCCTGCCAAGGGCGTCACAGATGCTACAGACCTTATGTTCCTTAGAGAAAGGACTGAGTTTCGATCACACCACATGTGCAATGCCAGTGCAGGATGTGGCACACAGTGAATGCCCAGCATCTGCCACTGAGGACAGTGGCGCTTATACATCTGTTTTCTCATTTGGCACATTTACAGATGCCAGGTGACAATGTCAGTAATAGTGAAAGCGGCAGAGCCGGAGCCCTTTCTGTGATCATCATCAGAGCACTCCAATACCACCTGCTGGGAGCCTTCAGAGTGAGGTAGGTCACTTGGTCTATACTTTCTGGAGCGTCAATGACCTAAACATAACACGGTACCCGCTGTGCACCCAGTCTCCTCACCTTCTTCTGGAAGCCCATGGCGGGGATATTACATCTCACACCAGCATCTTCCTCATGGTTGCAGCCCTGAGACTCAGCATTGAATTTGCAGTCTATGATGGACTTTTCATTCCCCGTGCACTCAATTTCATTGAGATGGATGGGTCCTATCCCTGGGGGAGAAAAAAAACATGGGCTATGAAAGCTTCCGAAAGAAAGTTTCTAGCTTAGGTGACCTGCCCACAGGGGAAGTCAACAAGCTGACTTCCTCTTCCCTGGGAGGTCTTTCTGAAAGGCCCAGTAAATCTTCTTTAACGCTCTTCTTCGCTATGCCGTGAAATGGCAAGGAAGTCCCAGATAGTAAGAACACACTTCTCCCATCCTCGAAACTCTCCCAACTGCCTCCCATAATCAGCTCGACGACCCAGCCTCTTCTCCCTGGGGAGAATTCCTTGTCTTGGGATCCACTTCTCCATAAGAGCAAACTAAGTTGTGTGACCTTGGCCAACTCACTCAGCCTCTCTGAATCATGGTTTTCTTACTCAAAGGAGTTGGACTCGAAGACTTCTAGGTTTCCTTCCCAACTTTCGTATTTCATGCCTTTATGAATCTGAAAGGGGTGGCAATCGCTGTATGGTCAGGGTTCCTGCAGGACACAGATGGCATGCTCAAATTGGATGACTCGAAGAAAGTTAGAAAAAAAGGATTTTTAAAATATAGGTATGAACATAGTGTAGAGAAATCACAAAATCACAAAGGATAGTCCAGTCCAGTGCTCATGGGCACAGATACTAGCCCCCGGCCTGCAGGAATGAGGGGAGAATACTAATATCTAGCCCAGGAGAGCAAAGAGCTGTGTGGGGAAGCACCTGATAAGAGCTGTTGCCTTTGGCTGAGAGACACAGTGGCCCGCAGGACCCTTGCAGAGAGGAGATACCTGGCCTCCCTCCTCTGCCCGCCACCAGCCTCCTGCCAGTGCTCCCTTCTGGCCAACCCAAGTGCACCTCCCGGGGCACTGGACAGTGTGGGCAGATAGAAGGATCCAGTAAATGACCTATGGTGAGCATGCAGGAAGCTTCTCTTACAGGCACCAAGATAACAGGGGGAGCCTCCCTCCCACTTCCGGGGAGAAAGAATCCCCAGCCTGACCAGCATTCAGGCCAACTCAGCTCATAAAACTATCTCTCCTCAGCCTAGCCCATTGCGATGGATCAGAATCTAGTTCTTTCCAGGGGCTCTGAGCTACACTGACTCCCGTCTTGGTCCCTGCCCTGCCTGTGACTTTCTCCCTCTCCTGATCCTCACCATCCTCCTCTCATTCGGGTCCTGACCCTCATGACTCAAACACTTGCTAAAATCTCCCATCTTTACGATGACCCTCCCCTGACCCCACGCTTCCCTCTGGCCTGTCACTTGCCTCCCCTTCAGGGTGAACCTCTTGGAAGCACCATCTGTTTTGTTCTACTTCCACAGCCAGCAGTAGGACCATCCCGTCTGTTTCTCTGCCAGACCTCCCATCCCAGGAAACAGCCCCTCCATCCACCAGGTTGTTCTCACCAGAGCCCAGAGGTCATCTCTAGTACCACCCACCGCCTCCTCCTTCATCGCCGACAAGCAATCCATCACCACGTTCCATTCATTTCCCTAAAGCAAAGTGCTTTTGTTTTTTCATTTTTGCCATTATGACACTAGTCCAACCCTGTCATCCCCCACTTGAATGAATGTAGCAGTCTTTAGTCTCCCTCCTGCTTGCTTATTCCAAAATATTTTCCACACGGCAGCCCAAGAGATTATTTTTTGTGCATATTGAATCGTGTCATTCCCTGTCTTAAATCCCTGCAATGGCTTTTCAGTGCCCTTAAGGATAAAATTCAATCTCCAAAAGGCCTACCAGGCCCCATGGGATACAGCCTCCACTTAGCGTCCAGCGTGGCCTGCTCCTCACCCGCAGTCACGCCGTCTCCTTCAGCTGCTCCACTGAGCCTAGCCGTTCCCTCTGCATGGACCGTCTTCCTCCTGGTCCTCACCAGCTAACCCCCGCTCATCCTTCAGGGCTCAGCCTCGACACCATTTCCTTGGAGAAGCCTTTCTGACCCCATCTAAGCTGGATCCCTTCAGGGAGCCTCCCACTAAGCACTCTGCTTCATGTTCACTCAGGCGGCTCTCTGTTCGATGTTTGTCTGCCTCCCCACTAGGCTGGTGGCCCCACAGGGGCAGGTGTCACGTCTGTGTTCCTTCTGTACACCCAACCAGGGCCCAGCAAATAGGAAGTGCTGCATATAGCCTCCGAATGAATGTTGTTGACTTCATTGACTGCCTTTTGTGTGTCAGTCTCTGTGCTAGGTGTTAGGGACTCGCAGATGAAGAAGGCAGGCACCTGCTGTGAAGAGCTCAGTTAGTTCATGGGGGAGACAGACACACAAAGACTTGTAATGAAACGTGGTAAAATACGGAGGGGACTATATATGCTTTAAATCCAAAGGAAGGAACCTTGGCCCTGTCAGGGGCGTCTGGAGACAGCAGTGTCTAGGCTTCCTGAAGCCAAAAAATAACTTCCGGGAGCAACCCATGTTAGTAGGTTAAGAGCCAAGTTCTATTTCTTTGGAAATTCATAAATGATGAAGCCTCCGATTCCTTGGAGTTTTATAAAACTTATAAAAATACATCAGTGACTTTGGCTGGAAACATCCAAGGACTCAGAGTGAAAAGGCTGTGACGAAATACAGATCCTGAAATACAGGGCTCTTGAAGCAAGCAGGAGCCTATCATGGATTAAGATGGGCACGGAAATGGGCAGCGACCTTGGACTTAAGCGTCCTGGTAGATGAGGGGCCTGTTTGATGACTGTGAGGATGATGATGTTAATCGTGATGATGGTGATGACGATCATAATGATGATGGTGGTGCTGATGGGGATATCTAATATTTATTGAGCACTTATTTGTGCTGGATTCTGTCCTAAACACATTGCTTCTATTAACTCATTTAATCATCACAAAAACTCAATAAAATGAGGAAACGGGAGACCAAAGATCAAGTAACCAGACCAATGGAAAAACGAGAGTTCAGACTAGGCAGTCTGACTCCAGAGTACATCTTGCTAAGTTTTTGAAGCTCCTCAGGAGTGCCAGGAGAGAAAAACCTATGTTGGAAAAGAAGAGGGTTTGCTCTGGAAAAAGCATCATGTCCTCCTGAATCTCGGGCTGCTTCCTCTGCCTCCTGCACCCTGGAATATCCATTTTCGACCTATCTCTGTAGAAGCCTGCCTACAAGGGACACCTCAAACCCCTCCTCCTCCATGGCTCAGCTTGAAATGACCTCACTCTCGTCTAAACGTCTGCAGCATTTACTTTTACACCCCTTGCTCATGAGGCAGTGAGCTGGGCAGTCAGCCTGATATTGGATTCGGCCTGCGTCTTCTTGGGAAATGATGGAAACTTTCTGAGCTCTACTTTCTTCATTTGTAAAAGGCAATGATATCTATCTCATCAGGTTGGGATTATGAGAAATGAACGAGACAAAGTATGTCAAGTTACTAGGGATGCAGAAGATGGTAGGTATTATTATCAGTATTATATCTTATATATTATCACCTATTTGTTAGTCTAAGTTGACCGGGGTTATATCTTATTTCCTCCACTTGAGGTGAGCTCCTGGAGAGCAGAAACCATCACTACAAGTGACTATGGAATAAATGAATTCTCCATTCTGCCATCTAGCCCAAAAAGTACTCAATGAGTGTTTGTGGATTTCTAGACTGTAGGACTGAACAGGAGAGGAAAGGTTAACACAAGAGCCTAGCATGCTTTAGACTCCAGTTAACAAGCAATGAGTCTCCTTTTGGCCTAATTTATGTAAATTTATGTAAATTTATGCAATCTCAGAGGACAGGGCTTGCTTTCCTGAAGCAAGCACTTGGTGCACCAGGGGCAGAGCACAGAGGTGGGAAAACCAGTGTCTCTCATCCTCTTACCTGAACCACCCAGTTGTGTGGTGGGTCAGGCAGGACAGGAAGTGCCACTGAAAGACAGTGGCCTGGGTGTCCAGCTGCAGTACCACCAGGGAGATCTGCAGGCTCCTGGCTTCTTTCTGACCTGGGTTTGACCTGCATCCTGACCCCCAGCTTTCCACTACTTCTGGGTTCTGGCCTGTCCCCTGAATTGCTCTTTCTCTGATGGTTTCCCCACCTACACCTTGGCCCTGCTCTTCTCCCTTGTACAAACCCTGACCCGGGTGACCACAGGCCTGGGGCAAGAGCAGGGCCCTGGGGAAAAGCCACAGCCAACCTCTTGCAGCAATGTTATGGACTCTGGACCCACAATCAACTCTGCAGGTTATAATCAGATTTTTAAGATTAAGACATAGCATAGTGCTCTGCATGTTATAAAGGTCAGCATTGTCTCATGAAATCGTTTCAGCTTTTGTGCATGGTATGTGCTGTTATGTGTATTTCTGATTGGGAATTGCAGGCAAAAGGGCTTTAAAGCCACTGCTGTAGAGCTGCCTGGTCCAGTACGGTAGCCACTGGCCACACTGAGCCCTTGGAATGTGGCCAATCCAGACCAAGATATGTCGTTAGTGTAAGACACATCCTGGACTGCAGAGTTAGTATGCAAAATGTCAACAACATCAATAGCATTTATATTGAGTTAATGTTGAAATCACAATGTTTTGGATGTACCGAGTAAAGAAAATATATTATTAAAATTAACTGCATTTGTTTCCCTCCCTCCCTCCCTTCCTTTCATCTTCCCTTCCCTCCATCCTTCCTTCTTTCCATAATCTCCCTCCCCCGCTCCCTGCTTGCCTGCCTGCCTGCCTGCCTTCCTTCCTTCCTTCCTTCCTTCCTTCCTTCCTTCCTTCCTTCCTTCCTTCCTTCCTTCTTTCCTTCATGTAGCTACTAGAAATTTAAAAATTACGTATGTGGCTTCCATAATATTTCCATTGGACTGTGTAGGTCTAGAGTATTGAAACTTCTTCACCAAATGTTCATTTCAGCTGACCCTATTTATGCAGCTGAAACTCATTCATTCATTCATTCATTCATTCATAAAATGAATATCCCCAGAACACTATGAGCTCGGTACTGAGGACAGAGAGGTAAAAGCCACAGGCCCGCCCCCCGTGTGGTGCTCGGTCATGGGGGCTGCTGGACGTAAACAGACAGCTGGAGTTCAGTCGTGTGCAGCGGGTCCTGCAGCACAAAGCCCAGAGCCTGACTCTGACCTGACATCTGTCCTGGTGAAAAGAACAAGTTTCAGAGAATCGTAGGAGGCTAGAGCCAGACCTCATACATCATAAATCCAGTGGAGTCTCTGAGGCCCAGAGGTTGCTCAGGGCCACGGTGCAAGTAGGTGGCAAGGGTAGGGCTGGGGCTCCAGTGGCCCGGTTCTCAGTCCTTGGCCTTTCACTGCCCTCACCTTGGGTGTGGTCAGTTGTTCCACCAGCCAGAGCTAGGGCTGAGGATCTGACCCTGTCTGCTCTGTGACTTGACATTGAGTGTGGAGTTTTCCCTTTCTGCCCACCGGAGTTGACCCCACCAGGTGTGGCAGCAAATAGTAAAATAGGAAATCATCCAATGGTTCTTTCAAGGACAGCATCGGACATGCCAAAGGTCTCTTCCTCCCAGAGTTCCACGGGCCCATGAAAGCCTTTGGCTGCTCTGGACAGTGAAATAATTAGGTCAAACAGACATGCCCAGGAGACATGGAATGTTTGTCATCCAGTGCTTGTGTATCCCTCAGAATGAATGGTCTCTGTCCTGTCGGCCTTGGGGGAGCACAAACCATCAAATCAGCCAATCAGGAAAATGAGCTGTAGGAATCTTTGAGATCTAAAGGGAAGACTGAATTGCTCACCATGACTGGGGAGAAAGAGGACTGTCCTGGGGCCTAACAGGCTGCTGGTGGGCACACCGTGACATTAAAGTCCACCTGAGACCCCGCACTTCGGGGCACACCTGGGAGGCTTGCAGGGATTGGAGAACAGAGGTAGAGAGGTGTTCTGAATGAGAGCAGGACTAGGCCAAGACAGGTCTAGAGAAAGAAGCCCAAATCTGAGAGTCAGAAGACTGGGGTTTCAGTCTTTCCCCACCAGTCACTATCGGGGTGACCTCAGGCTTGTTCTCCTGAGCCTCAAATTCCTCATCTTTGGAGCAGATGACCTAAGCTCCCTCCAGCAGGCTGTCTGACCCCAGGACTCTCTCTCCAGCCCACTGGGTGATCATTTCCTCTAGGCTGTGATCTATGACCTCACCACATTCCTTTCTGTGGGGCGATGGCCCTATGTCTGACAGCGTGGAAACATCCTCTCCCCATAGGATGGGACACCCCACCCCTCATCCACAGCCCGCTCTTTCTCCTCCCCACCCCACTCCCAGCCATGGGTGCCCCTGGTCCAATGCAGCCTCCCCGTTGGTCAGCACCAAAAAGATTCTAGGAGATGACTGATTTTACTTGCTCAGCCCCCAGTTCTCCAGGAGAGGGCTGGGCACTCACTGGGCAATGGTCTGGGATTAAGATCCTCCCTTCCTGGAGGGCCAGGGCTTGTGGTATTCTCGGGCTCGGGAAGGGGTGGGGGGATGGGGGGTGAGGGACATGCTATCTGCTGTGTCATCATGTCATGTTCACAACATCGCTTTCCACAGAGCGACCCATTTGAAGGCCTCCCATATTTTGTTCTTTGCTCAAGTGGAAGATTTTTCAGGACACTTAATGAAAACCAGGCCCCTTCTCCTTAGCATCTCGTGACATCTGGAGAGGGGGCATCATGTTCCCAGTCTCTGGTGGTAGGGAGAGAATGTTTTCGGGGCTGTGCCAGAGTGAAGAAGAGGACATTTGTGCCCAGGATGGTCCACAGCCTGATGAACCTTGAGGTCCTCTCCTGGAGGAGGGGCCTAGAGTCCTGGTTTCTCAGTGGAGCAGTGGGAGCCCTGGGGTGGGGTTGGGAGACCTCCATTAAAGTATTCATTAGCTGCCAATACGTTGTCTCATCTTGGGCACTTAGTCCCTTCTCTGGGGCTCAGCTTTCAAGTCCATGTGAGGGGACTCAGTGTTCCCTAGGGCCCTCCCAGCTCTGACTGCCCAGGGAGAGGCCTGGGATTCTCTGAGAGCAGCAGCTGCTGGAGACAGGAAGCAAAGCGAGAAGAGCCTGGAAAGCAGCAGACCAGCCGGCCGGGCTGGGCTCCAGCGCCATGCTCTCCATGGAGAGAGGCCACGGGAGTCCTCCCCATTCCTTACCTTGCCCCAGCTGGGAGCCAGTGATGGCTTCTTTGGCACTCCCAAAGCCCAGCTCTCTGCAGACCACGCTGGCAGACACCAGGTCCCACTTGTCGTCACAGATGGTACCCCATTCTCCATTCTTGAGTACCTCCACGCGGCCCTCCCCGACGTTGGCACCACCTCTCAACCGCACCAGGGGTTGCTGAAGAAACACATGGTCCTGCTGAGCGCAGAAGCTGATGCA